TAGAGATCAGAAGGCAATATTTTACAGTTAGGGTGGCCAAAATCTGGAACCAACTTCCCAGGGAAGTGGTCCTCACCCCTACCTTGGGCAAATTCAAGAGGAGGTTGGATGATCACCTGTCTGGGGTCTCGTAAACCCAGCATTAATTCCTGCCTGTGGCAGGGGGTCAGGCTAGATGATCTTTTCAGGTCCCTCCTGACCCTAGCTACTATGAAACTGGGTCAGGACTGGCCATCAATGTTTACAAATGGGTCCTGGTGCAAACAAGGTTGAGAGCCACTGCTCTGAAGGTCAGCTCCCAGACCAATGGGACCTGAGCTTTACCTGCCTCCCTTAGGTCTTGCGAGCACTTAGCAGAGAGGATTTTGCCAGCCAGAAGTATCATACCCTTGTCTGTTCACGCGGGGGCCTCCCCTCTTCCTTGGCAGAGGCCTGGTCAAATGTTGTGAAATTACATGCATCATTGACAGTAAAATGTTATAAAAGATGACCAAAGGATTTGTTATGAAATCAAGACCAAACCTAAGAGATCAGTAACCATATGTTGCAATACAGATAGAGATATAAGAATAAACAAATGAAAGGAATTATCAGAACAATAATCTTGACTAAAATATAAAAATATATTAAAAGTACATTTACGTTAAATACCACAATTCATGCAAACATAACAATAATGATAAATATAGCACTACCTATACACAGAGACTAAATATGCCGTATGAGTAAAACAAATTCAGGAAAACAGCAGGATGTCCCATAAACACCACAAAATATAGATTCATGACCCTTAACTGCAATTATTTTGCAAATGAGTTGCAAAAAAATAGTCAAATTCATTAGGTGGCAGATTATAAGCAAGCATAATAATAATTAAATGTGTGGATGTTAGAACAAAACTAGCAATTTGTTGTTAACTTGAAAATATATAGTATCTAAGAGCCTTCTCTGAAACTGGCAAAATTGCAAAGCTCATTTTGTTAAAAAGAATCCAAGCTGAGTGCGCCATTTTTTCTGACATCATAAAACAAAAATTGAACCTAAATGTCATGTTTCTGAATACTACTCAGCTCTACACTGGCTTTCTAAAAATCTGAAAAAACATCAATGAGACTTAGATTCCCAATAAACACTTTTGAAAATCCCATCCCCATCTTCATATACTTCATATACTTCATATCTTTTTGTACAGAAAGCTATAAATACTTACGTTTAATTCCCGGCATTCAGAGAGATTTATGTCCTGCAAATTTTTACATTCACCTAAAATTTAAAAAAGACTTTTATATAAGAGTTAAAGTTTAAAGGTGCAAATTCTCTGATGATCAAAGTAACATAGGAATTGCCTTGTCCATCTAGTCCAGCATCTTGTTGTCTGAGACTTGCCATAACTGAATGATTTAGACTTAGAAGAAGTTGCAAGAAACAAAAGAGAACAAAATTATGGAATACCTTTTTTACAGTAAATGTTGTTTCCTATCCCTTACCAGTCAATGGTTACTTTATTGTTTCCATCAGTCATAGAGAGCACATGAGTAAGTGTCTCCCTTCTCACCTCCTTAGCCCAGGGCCAGTAGAAGAACTTAAAGAAAAAACTCTATATAGCCTCTGTAGCCATGGAATATTAGCCTGGATACTTTTTTTAGAACAACAAAAGGCATGTCTCTGACACACAAGCAATCTTCTTATCAAATCTCAAAAGCATGGAGATGTCAGAACTTTTTTATCATAAGAACAGTAAGAATTTAATATGGGTAAAACAGTATGTTAAATCTTACCCCCATTCTCAGAAACAGTTAATTCACTTAAGATGAAACTTAAAAAGCAAAACCCAAAAATATCAGACTAAGGCAGATATCAAACCTGAGAAATTCAATATACAATGTTCAGATAAAAACAATAAAAGATTTTCAAAACATTTCAAGTTTGGAAAAGAAGCAGCCATCTGTATGATTTTACCTGTAATCAAACATTAATCCAATTATATATTTGTATACCCCACTCTATGGAAACAATGACCTCAACTAGAGTTTTGATATTCTATCTTAAGAGATTCTATGAACAGGAGAGAAGGACAAAGATGCTTACTTAGAAATATGGGGTGCTGACAGACATTGGGGGGAACCCCCCCACACACATTTTACTGAAAGAATCAGCTGTAGATAAAAGTGCCAAAAAACCCTGCTGAAGTGCCCAAGCTATACAGACACAGGGCAAGCTGGGTCCAATTAATGCAATGCCCCTTCTGAGCATGTGCTGGGCTTGCCACAGGAACATGCCCAATTTTAATTAAAGCACCATTTTGGGGTGGGTTTTAATGTCTGTAAGCAGCCATGGTAGAAATTCTTGGAGTTTGCTTAAAAAAAAGAATCTTCTCCCGCCTTCAAACCAGAAAGTTTCAGAAACATTTTTGAATACTGAAGGATAACCCCAACAACTCTAACCAGTTAAAATTGCCTCCACTGTTGATAGGCCACACATCATGTCATCTCTATGCTCCCTTCTATAATCCTGAACAAGACAGAGATGAACACGTCTTCCCACAAGGGGGAAACCAGGACATGGACCAGGTTGCATCAGAACTTCATAAGGGTTAACCATAGCATGCTAGAGAATCTCTGCTGTCTTTTGAAATTTTAAACAAAACCCATAAAAAATCCATATGCAAAAACAGTCTCCTTAATGAAAATCAGAAGTAAACAGAAGCACTGAGATCTTGCATCTGCAGATGGCATGAGGAAATAGCTTTCTGAAGTGTTAAGTGCTCCCATTCATCTCAATGTAATGCTAATGCTGAAGCCTTGCTATGACAATTACAATGTCAACCTTTGAGTATATAACACAAGAAAGGAAAGAAATCATATTAGGAAGATAAGCACAGTCTTTTCAGAGTTTTACCTCTGGATTCTGAATTAGCTGTTACAAATCAGGAAAGAAACCTTGCAGTCTTTGTAGACAGTTCTCTAAAAACATCAGTTCAACGTGCAGTGGCAACCAAAAAATCCGCTAAAATATTAGGCATCATAGGAATGGAATTGAAAGCAAAACAGAGAACATCAAAATGCCACTATATAAATCCATAGTGTACCCATGTCTTGAATACGGTGTGCAATTCTAGTCTCCATATCCCCAATGGATGTAGCAGAATTAGAAAAGGTACAGAGAAGGACAACCAAAATGATCAGGGGCATGGAACAGTTGCCATACTGTGAGAGACTAAAAAGCCTGGGCTCTTCAGTTTAGAAAGGAGAAGACTGAAGGGGGTTATGATAGAGATCTATAAATCATGAAGTGAATTGATAACTGTTGTCCAACAAGTCCTAGAATACTAAAACTAAGGGGAACACATTGAAATCAGTAGGTAACAGGTTTAAAATTAACAAAAGAAAATACTTTTTCAAGAAACACATAGTTAACTTATGGAATTCACTGCCACAGGAGGTGGTAGAGGCAGATAATAACAGCCAGGTTTAAAAAGGGACTAACCAAATTCATGGATGATAGATCTATTAAGAGCTGTTCAAAAGAATGGTCAGAGATGTTTCCAGTGGTATCTCTAAACCAATATTGGTGGATACCAGGAAGGGTAATTGATAGGGGATAGATTACTTTAGATATATTTGGTTTAATGTTCTCCCTCTAAAGCATCTAACCCTTCCAGTGTTGGATACAGGGTATTGGACTAGGTGGACCACTAGTCTGACTCAGTATAGTACTTCTCATGTTCCTCTGTTCTTAATTTTATTGTCAAAACTGAGCAAAGCTTAACTTGTGGGTAGAACTCATAATGCTACTAAACAGAGATTCAGCTATAGAAAATGGAAAAAAACTTATATAATTCACATACATTAGCTTTCCTCCCCCAGGTTCCTCTTTGCTTCATTTTGGACTTCCCCTAGGTAGAGGGATCTGCCACAATCCCAGGATCAGAAACCTATGGAAATGGTAGGACAGTTCAGAATAAGAGAGAATCCAGTTGTGATGGATGTGATTAAAACCCGCCTGAACAGGCCCTGATTCCCCAAAAATTAATAAATACAATTAATTATATTTTTCATAATATGTAATGGACAAAACCATTAACTAAGATGCACAGTTTCATAAAATTATGTGCATTAGTAGAATGCTGATATAGACTGCTGCTGGTAGATACAGAAATTAAATGGTGATCTTACAAAAGATTTCCAACAAAATAATTACAATCAGAAGCACTCTCATTTTTTATTTTAGATGGAAATAGTTGCACTACTTTTTAAAAGACAGTTTTTCCATTTTATATTATTAAACTTTACAGAAACAATTACCTGTGTCCTCCTGTTTGTACCACACTGATATAATTATTTTATAATGAAATCCAAAAGTTACTTTAACTTCATCAGATAAATCTACCACAAAAATAGATTGTACAGCTTTAAAAACAAATGTTAATATAGCATTGGAAAAATTAAATACTAAGAAAAAAATCCAGTCTCAAGGTCATATTATTTCCTTTACATGTGCACAGTATAGATGAAAGTGAGTAAGGGTTGCTTTGGATTCCTGATGCAAACAAGGAAATGTTACAAATATATTAGTGATACCTAGACGGCAGCTTATTCTTACATTTTAAATAATGTAATTTTGTGTATGTCTTCACTAGAAAAAATGTTGAGTTCAATAAAATCCTAATGAATCCTATTGAAGAAAAGGGGGGTTTAGTTATGGTTTTCAGATGAGTTAGCAGGTCAAGATTTCCACATAGTATTGAAGGTGAATGCACGGGCAGTATATGTTCACTCTCTCCTGCTGGTCAGCTCTGTTGGGATGGTTTGCATCCCAAGTGCAGTAGGAAGATACAGTCCTCGCTTTCCCTTGATGACACACCTATGATTGTGCTTGGCTCTTCCACAGGCAGGCACAATGAGAAATTCACCAAGGATCTCTCATAAATCCAAGTGAACAGCCAGTCAAAACCCAGCCAGACTCTAGGCCTACATTTTGACTCAGATTGCTATGTTGATCAAAACGAGTGAGAAAGATAACTTTAACAATTAAGGAGTAAGATGTGACCTTAATATTTCTGCCTGAGTAAGTTTCAAATTCTGTGCTAATTAAACTATTTTGTAATGCTTCATTTTATGTGCTAGTCTCTATGAAAATGTCTCTCTTCGACTTTCTTACATTCTATTTTCTTCCAACACAGGGACTCCACATACCCCAGCTGTGCCTCCTCAATTTTAAACAACGCTGGTTTTAAGACTATCCAACCTCAAATTTCAAAGGAATACTTGGCTTGTTCCACAGAAAGTAATTGGAGCCAGCTGCATGTCAGGATGCAAGTAGTTACTATTATAATACTACTTTTTCTGTGTAAAACTGCTGACTTCAGGAAGACAAGAAATGGGAGCTTCAGAAACAAAGCAAATAATGGAAAGGCAAGCAGCCTAAGGAAAGCATCCAGCACAGTTAAGCGCTATGCCCCAGGGCTGCCTTGTGATATATATACTTATCTTCATGAGAAATACTTGGATTGCCAAGAAAGAAAACTAATGTTTGTGTCACCTAGTTGGCCTGAGGATTTAAAACACATGCTGCTAGCAAGAAACAGAATTCGCAAATTGAAGAATAATATGTTTTCCAAGTATAAAATATTGAAAAGTCTGGATTTACAACAGAATGAAATAGCAAAAATTGAGAGTGAGGCTTTTTTTGGCTTAAGTAAACTTACCACACTTTTACTTCAGCATAACCAGATTAAGATTTTATCAGAGGAGGTTTTTATTTACATGCCCTTCCTAAGCTACCTGCGTCTTTATGATAATCCATGGCATTGCACCTGTGACCTGGAAACTCTTATTGCAATGCTGCAGCTTCCAGCAAACAGGAATTTGGGAAATTATGCCAAGTGTGCACTTCCAACAGAACTGAAAGATCAAAAACTAAAGCAAATAAAAATTGAACATCTGTGCAGCGAGGAGGAAAGATTGCACCCTGAAAGTATAGTAAAAAAGCCTGAAATTGCCAAACCAGAATTTGATTCCTCTCTCTGCCACATTTATGTGTTTCCTGTACAAACACTGGATTGCAAAAGAAAAGGTTTGTACACATATATTTAATTAACTGGCTCAATATTCCTGCCCATCTGCTACCTTAGTTTGCATATCAATTGTATTACAGAAAAATCAGTATAGTACTAGGAAGCTTTTGCTTTAACCCATACTGAAAATTTCTTATTCTTGTGATTATATACAATGTAGTAACAATTCTCGTGGTATTTTACCTCCATGCTGGAACCCCAACTCTGTAAAAACACGTACTTAGGTGTAGAAGCAGGTATAATTCAACTAAAATCAACAAGACTTCTCATGGTGCAAAGTTAAGCACATGCTCAAATTATAACAGTATCAGAGCCCAGTTTTTTCCGATTTTACTCTGGCAATTTTACTGCTGCCTCTATAAGCCTACATATGATCATAGTTGTTCCAATGTGGCTGCACTGATGCAGAAAGCTCTTTCTCCCTTCAGTGACAAGCACAATGAAGCCAAAATTTGACAGCAGAGCGCTGTGAAGCCAGATGGGAGTTACCAGCAGTGCTTGGAGGCCCCACAAATGAACTGACTGAATGGGAAGGTGTTGTGACACCCCTCCCTCCCCGCCACCCCCCCATGCATGACTACCTCTGTTGAGAGCAGTGCTGGTTGCTTCTCTTAACAGTTACAGCAACAGGTATTTCTCTGTGCCCAGGAGGCATTTTAAAGTTAAAACATTTCCTAGTACTGCTGCAGAGGAAGTGAGCTCCCGCCCCTACCCTAATGCATCTCAGACGCTTAGGAATCATAACTAAACCCTAAGGGTAAAGCAGCTGGGATATGTGAATACATAAATGCAAATCTGTCTATGCTTTACATTTATCATATTTGTCTCATGTTTCCAAAGCAAAAACAAAGATATTTTAGCTGAGGGCTGTTCTCTGGTAACACCCTTTGCAAAATGCAAGTGCAAACAGAAAAATAAATAGAGGTACCAAGACATGGGAGTAGCCCAGTTTGGGAGGATTTTGTCCAGCTCTTGCAAATTATTTTTATCTTGTAGTATGCTTGTCAAACTGCTTAATGTTTTCTTCTATTTGCCTTAAGAGTAACTACAAATTGATGTAACCACTTTGATGGTGTTTCTATCCCCTGACCAATTCCAGGGGGGGCTCTGTCTATACCTGGCTACCAGTATCAGATAGAGGAAGGCTAGACAAATCGAGAAGTTAGTATGAGGAAACAGGTTCTGACTAAAAGAAATTAGAAGCTTCGGGTTATGATAACATAATGTATCCAATCCACATCATGTCAAAATCACCTATCCCTCTACTTTCTGTGATCTAAGACAACAGGATCCCACCATTACCCTCAACAGCTCAAATACTGAACAAAGACAGACATCTAAGGAAATCATCCCTAAATCTGAATCACAGACTGACACCCCAGGGCAGATCATTCACTATGTATCTATCCCACAGAGGGAACCAAATAAGTTGAATGAACTCAACATTCTGGGAAGAGGAAAATAGAGAATACATGGCCCTGCTTCTTCCCCTCCAAACTCACAGAAGCTTACCAATAAATATTAACGTTTTGTTAATGTTTCATGGGCTTTAGAGACAATAACACACTTTTTAAAATAATCTAGTATTAATTACAATAAAGAACCAAATTGTGGTTGCCTCAAAGATACACTAAAGAGCACAGAGAGCTCCTCCATATACTCAGCAAGAGGCAGCCATGAAGCTATAGCCAGCATCCCTTACAACAGGCTGATCATCTGACTGACAATGCTAGAAATGATGCACATCTCAAAGAAGGTATAACTCAGGGGTTGTCAACTGGGGGTATGCATACCCCCAGGGGTACTTGGAAAGAGACTGGGGGGTACACATGGGCAGGCAGGGATGGAGTACCACCATCCATCACCCTGTGCTGCCACCTCCCAGGAGCAGGGATGGGGGTGAGGGCAGTGGGTCCCCTCTGCGGGCCGCACAGGCACCACCCAGCTGGCCAGACGCAGTGGAGAGGGGGAGCTTGCATGCGGCTGCCACCGCCACCATCCAGCACACAACGCTGCCACTGTGTGCAAGCCCCACCCCACAGCTCCACGTCCAGCCTCCACCACCCTCCACCCTCTGCTCTGCCAGAAGGGGTAAATTCTTAGAAAGTTTGAAAACCGCTGGTATAACTGGTTCAATTTAAAAAGTGGCCAAGTCTCTGTCCTCAGCACCATGACTGAAAGAGACTTGGGGGTCATGATTGACCACAAGATGAACGTGAGCTGCGGCAAAGCAACATTTGTTTGCTTTGCCGCAGCTGTCAAAGCAAACAAAACTCTGGCTCGCATCTACCAATGCATCACAAGCAAGACCCAGGAAGTCATCTTCCCGCATTACTCAGCCTTGATGAGGCTGCAGCTGGACTAGTCTATCCAATTCTGGGCTCTACAATTCAGAAAGGATGTGGAGAAGGTTGAAAAAGTCCAGAGGAGAGCCATGCACATGATTAGAGTACAAAAGAGCAGGCCTTATGAGGAGAGGCTGAAAGCCATAGGACTCTTCAGCGTGGAAAAGCATAGGCTCAGGGGTGACTTGGTGGTAGCCTATAAGTACATAAGTGGTATACATCAGGAACTGGGAGAATGTCTGTTCACCAGAGCACCCCAAGGGAAGACAAGGTCCAATGGTCACAAACTCCTGGAAGACCATTTTAAGCTGGATATAAGGAAAAACTTCTTTACTGTCCGAGTTTTTTCAGGCTTGGAATAGACTCCCCGCACTGGTGGTGCAAGCACCTACTCTGGACACTTTCAAGAAACACATGGATGCCTATCTTGCTGGAATCATTTGACCCCAGATGACTTCCTGCCCCTTGGGCAGGGGCTAGATCCAATGATCTTGCAAGGTGCCTTCCAGCCCTAATGTCTATGAAATCTCTAAGAAATCTCACACCAGTGCTGAGAGGGAAATGCAAGGGGAAGATTATGATACAACCTTATAAAAAATGCAGATATAGGGTTTTTTTTCCTTTTTAAACAGGAGTTATTCAAATACCTCTTACTAGATAAATGATACACTAGATTTGTCAGTGCTTCAGAGGAAAAACTGAAATTCCTTTTCCCAATGATAGCAGTATATGATTTGTATTAAATTTCTGTAAAATAAATATGAGGTTTTTAGTTCATTATTGAAGTATTAGGTTGCCCCCATTAATATCATTGTTGGCAGTCCTCAATATGAATATGACTGTCTTCCAGTAAACAGGAAAGTCATTGGTGAGTCCATCATGACTGAGGAGGCCAATCTGAGCTCTACATGTTTGACTGCAGATATGGCAAATAGTTCCATGAGGAAGGAATAGATCCCGGTGATGTTGGGTCACAGCTCTTTC